CCACCTTTCGTGGGCAGATGCACTCGTTTCGTTTTCGTTTCGTGTGCCGTGTGGCGAGACCCAAAGAGTGCTCAGAGTGCATGAGAGCGTTCTCTATTTGCGAAAGGGGAAAAAAAAAAAAAAAAAAAAATTGTACAGGAAATTCAAAAACGACGAAGTAAGGCAAGCGGGATGCTCAACCCATGATTCACAATCTACCGTTCTAAAGAAGAAAAAAAAAGAAACACAAAGCATGGAACGGTGCCCTTCCACGTCATCTTTCGTCATCTTTGTTCTGTTACCCCAGTCGTCTTGCTTCCTCCATCCCTTTTCTCTCCCTCCTTTCCACGTCCTATCCTCACCCACCCACGTTCGCCATCCATCCCACATGCTTGTCCGGCCAATCAATATTCCCACATGGGCATCATGATTCCCTTCTCCCTCACCTCCATCCTATCCTCAAGTTCCTCAACTATCCCGATCTTCCCCATGAACCCCGCGCACACACACACACACACACACGCACACACACACACAGAGAGAGAGAGAGAGAGAGAGAGAGAGAGAGAGAGAAGCATCGCCCATACGTCAACCATATACGAAGCAGGCAACGCATACAATGATCGACCCAATCACTCACGGACCACCACCAACGTCCGTTCCTCTTTCGTCGATCATCGCGGTTGTCCTCCCTCTGTGGGCATCGCTCGGCTACTCTCCACATGCGCAAACCTCAAAACCCATGGCAGTGTAACTTCCCATGTTCTAGCGGAAGATTCACTCTCATTTTGCAGATTGGGAGAGTAGTGGAGCGAGGCCCAATAGCTTTATAATTGGACCATGTTGCCGCTTCTCAGAGTGGCCAGAGGAACCCCTGTCCGTGCCCGCTGCCACCCCTCCCCCCCGCTTCCCCTCCCTCCCCCCCCCCCCCCCCCCCCCCCCCCCCCCCCCCTCACTTCCCCTATAGTAGGCCTATAGTACCCTCCTGCTCGCAGACGAAATAGCTTCTTTTAGTGTTTAAAACTGCCCGATTTATCGATCCAAGAGCTGAAGAATTCGAACGCCTCTGCCGGCTTGTCCTTGGGCGCGGCATGGCCGGCCCCAAGCACGGTTGCAAACGTCAGGTTCTTCTCGTAGTACTGCACGAAACCGGCCGTTCGATCTCCTACCCTCCATCTCTCCATCAGCAGCGCCCCTGGGAACGCCTCGCCATAGCCAAGGTAGCGAAGCCAAGCCTCGCTAGCCGTTGTGGGGACCACAAGGTCGTGATCTCCACTGTAGATCAGCACCCGCAGCCCGTACTTGGATGTCAATTTCCGGTGAATTGGCACCATATTGCCGCCGTTTTGCCAGTAAAGCAAGTGGATAAGATCTGAGCACGAAGTCCAGTTGCCTATCTCTGCCACAGGTGGGACGTTTATGGCAG